GAAGTAATAAGTGACAAAGGACAGATTCCATCAGATGTGTGACACATATAAAAAAGCAAGTATTTTATTTCATCTAAGACTGGATTGCTTTCTAAAACAAAGTCCTTAGACACAACAATAGAAAGATGTCGGGCAGCCAAGTCAGAATAAAGTACTAAATTCTCCCCCATTTTAGCCCTTAATCATAGCAACCGCCCAACAACTATGCTGATGGAAAGGATGGGTTTGTGGTGAAGACTCTGGACCAGGAATCAGGAGATCTAGATTAAACTCCTGATTCTGCCTCAACTCTATTTGACCTTGGACTAGTCACTGAATTCCTCTGGGTCTCAGTTCCCCATCTGTAAGAAGGGTATAACAATCCTTCATTTCTCCAACCCTGCATTTGTCTTGTCAGCTAAGACTGCCAACTCTTTGGGACAGGGTTTTCCACTCCAGGCCACTAGCTCAATGAAGCCCCAACGCATGGCCACCGACAAGATGAGACCCAGATAGAATACAATAGACGTGAACTGCCCTTCAGTTCTCAGCTACTGCAGGAGATTCTTTATGAAGTTAAAGAACTTCAGAGAGTCAAAGTTGGTGCTTGATACTAAAACAATACAACCTGGAATAATTTTAGAGTATGAAAGACCTCTCACCGTCAACGAGAATTGCATTATGGATAGTTTCTTCCATTTAAAAATAATCCATTTATTGAATCCAGTACCATGTATCCTATGACACCTGACTAGAGGGGGAGCCAAATATGAACAAAACCCCCAGTGTTAGGCACTATCCTAGCCTCATGAAACAAGATGACCAATTTGGCACCAGATTGACAAGTAAGAGGGTGGGATGATCAAGATTTAATACTGATCATTTCTGGGAGGAAAGGGACTAGCCCCTATGATTCTAGGCCTGGGATCCTCAGTCCTTTCTTCCTGCCATGGGAGAAGTTATAACCCCTCCTGGAGCTTTCTGTGGACTATTAGTGGTCTAAAGGCAAATGGCACATCAAGTTATTCCATGCCTTCAATCTCTAACCTAAAAATATTCTATATAGATTGTGTCTCTATAAACTTATTGTGTACGTAGTGGAAGAGGTTTGGGCTCTGATAAAGATTAGTTCCACTGTTACTAAATTACAGCAGTTTAATCATTAAGTTTAATTCTACTACTGCCGAGAAGATTTTTCATCCACAGATCTCAAAACACTTTCGCAAGGGACATAAAAACTAAAATCCCATAGAAGTTTAATGTTTTGGGAAGCAATTTGGGGGCAGGCACTGCCTATTTTATGTTTATGCTGCGCCCTGCCAAGTGAAGCCTGTGATCTGTTTGGAGCCTCTAAGTGCTACTCGAATACAAAACAACGATTTCTTCATGCTCGTAACTTGAAATATCTCAGGGGGTGGCTTATTAAGGCAAGGAGGAGCCTTTACAGACCGGGGTGGGATTTTCAAGAATGTCTAAGTGACTTAGGAGGCTAAATCCTATTGAGTCAACAGGACTTGTGCGTCTGCATTACTTAGGTGAAGAAGAACCTATGGCACCAAGTCTCAGAGCCCAGGAGCGAGAAACAGCAGTGTAAACGTTCCCATTTGGGCTAGAGCCTGAGCTCTGAGACACTCCCCCTTCGCTGGATTTTAGAGCACCGGGGCTGCAGCCTGAGCAGTAATGTCACACTGCAAATTTGTTAGTCTCTAAGGTGCCACAAGTACTCCTTTTTTTCTTACTGCTACTTTGGGCACCGCAGCCCCAGCCCGAGTCAATTGAGTCAGGCTCCAAGACTCGGAGCTGCAAGCATAGTGCAGTGCAGACATACCCCCAGATGTTTTGGAGGTCCCACCCAGGAGTCTGTAGGGTGCAGGGGAGAAGGGTTTGTCGGTAACTTTTGAACGTCAGTTGCTGTGCGTTTGCAACTCTGAGACATTCTTTATGTGCCCCACACTGCAGACTAATTTAATACTGGTTACAACCATATAACTTAAACCTTGGAGCAAGTGCTCAATAGTTCCTAATGGTTCCAAAAGAGACTGTAGAAATCTTAAATTTGTCTGCGGCTGAGCACCACAGGCAGGATGCGGCAAACACCACAGCAGGAAAGAGATTCTGCATGGACATCGGATGGTCCAAGCTGACTCTTTTCTATTAGATTTTGACTCTCAATTATGTTATAATTCCGTGGACACTTTTGGCCATGACGTGGCACACAGCAAAAACATTGTAACATTCCACGGGTAGCACAGAGGTTAGCCAGTGGTGTAGTGGTGCAAAATGAAGTGGGTAAATGAACTCAACCTAAACTTCATGTTCCCCAAATGAGAAATGGGTAAACTCGACTTCGCTGCTGGGTATAACCGATGCCAGGTGTGGGATGGGGGAGAAGCACTTGCTGCAAGGCTAAGCCACAAAACACTCCACTGGAGTAACCTGATGAGTGACTCTAAAACCACGTACAAATCCTCAGAGCAAAGGCTACAGATCCCTGGCGAGACACTGACCTTGACTCCCACCCCTACGACTTTCTGTCAAGCAGAGAAAAGCAGGCACAAAGGCTACAACATCAGACCGGGCCTTTAGTCTGATCTCGGAGTTTCTTTGGTTTTGCTAGTTTAAGACAGACAGACCCATCATATAAGTGGCAGATGTTATGCAGCTCTGGATGAAAGGCAGCATGAGTTAAACTGTTACGAGTAGATTTTATTGGGAACGATCTCCAAAACCCTAGCGTCTAGGAGAGTTTCTGCAATGATCCCATCAAGTGTATTGGGACATTAGAACTGGCCTTATTACAGTATTTTGGAACCTTTGTTATAGGCCAGAAATGGGCCATAATAAAACCTCTCCTCTGAAACTCCCTGGCTTCCAGAAGTGTTGTAGAGACAGGTGTCAGACTGGGTTCAAATCTTGAGATAGGTTTCAGAGTAGCAGCCGTGTTAGTCTGTATTCGCAAAAAGAAAAGGAGTACTTGTGGCACCTTAGAGACTAACCAATTTATTTGAGCACGAAAGCTCATGTTCAAATAAATTGGTTAGTCTCTAAGGTGCCACAAGTCCTCCTAATCTTGAGATAGTGATCTCATGCCTCCAGTTTTGTTTCTGTGTCACTTTCAAAGTCTGACGGAGCTCATTTTCTGGTTCTGATGCAGATGAAGTCTGCCAAGACTATCTGTTCTTGTGAGATTTCATTCCACAGAGCCTTCAGTCTCATGCAAAATGGCTGATCTTGAGAGAAAGCCACCAGTCAAAATGGATATTTGGGGACAAGATTTCACGACAGCAAGATTTCAGTGCCATTAAAAAAAATAAATCACAGCCCTGATTGGACTTCAAACAAAACTCCAGCCTGATGCAGATCTGAACCAAACCACCTCAGCCAATACCTAGTTACATTGTATGTGCACGTATGTTACTTAAATACATTTAAGTATTTCCATGCATAAAGATCAAAAATAAAGTGACAACTGCCAGCCACCAAGTATAAAATCAAGCTAAACCGATTTCATGTAATAAGGACACATCATAAATCCCTGAACACAAAAAATCCCCAGCATTATCAAAACATGGAGAGTTCTGATTATAATAACCCTAGAGTCAAGGGGTTTGTTTGTTGGTTTGTTATAAAGCCTTATTTTCCAAGCAGTTTAACTCAGGGCTGCATAGTTAAACAATAATTCCAAAACCAGACAGCCGATAGCTAGTTCACAATGAGCCACACGTTTGGATAGTAGGTTATGTACATAAAAAGTGAGTTCACCTATCTCCACTGCTTTCCTTGGACCTCACCTATATTTCAAGTGATGAAACATGACTAGCACTCAGTTTAAAAGCATTGACCAATCCCTTAGATATTAAGGTGGGGGGGGAGTGGAAATGACTAAGCTACTTCATTGTGACTGTAGCTTCTGCATAAATTTTGACTCGATTCCTGATTCCATCATCCACCCGCAACCCACACCACTTTCAATAATAATATTCCTGAAGTGGTAATTTACATGCTAGGCTGGAATAGCTCCAAGAGTAAAGCCAATCCCTTTATCCAATACATATTCTGCATTAATATCCACCTGATTGCAGGGGGGAGAGACTTGTTGGGAGGGGTCTGGGGGAAAGGGCATCGGCCAAGATATCATTTACTTAGACTAAGTCTCTTTGCACACTGCCTAAGACAGGAGCTCCCATCATGGACTAGGATCTCACTAGGTGTAACACAATAATAACGATAAACACCTGCTGTCCATCCACTAACAGGGATATCAATAGCCACCTAGTGCAAGTCTGTTCTCCACCCAGCACACACTCCGAAGCAGTGGTCAGCCTTAGGTCAATGTGGTTGCATTGGATGGTGGTGCAGGTAACACCCATCCTTCGTTGCTGCAGAGTCCCCCCTTCTACCCTGTCTGAGTAAAGCTACAGCTGAGAGGAGTCACTGGAGCATGCTGAGGAAACTCACTTTTAATTAAGTCATCAATGAAAGTTATTATCAAAAAGGAACCATTAAGCGCCCCACACCACCCCCAACAGACAGAAATAACCAAAAAGGGAAGCAAAGAGTTTGGGCTGACACACTGTCATTGCACTTCCCCACCAGTCACACCACCCACCCACACTTCCTGGCTTTTGTCAGTATCTGTCGGTACCTTACAGCTACTTAACCAGAGGGGGCTCTTGGTTTTGTTTTTCCCAGCTTTGTCTTATATGCTCTGCACACATCTCATGAAGGGAAGCCCTGGCCCCCCAGGGACCCCCCGCAGGGCACAAGCCACCAGGCAGGGAGCTGCTCTGGCTTTACATCAGCGCAGTGAAAACCTGAGCACTAGGCTCCCACAGGGCTTTTCCCAGCCACATTTGAGAACTTCAAAGATGCTTTTTAGGAGGCTTAGAGATTCCCCTGTTTGCAACACCCACAGCAGACCATGGCAGAGATCTCACACACACACTCAGGCCTGTTTGACAGGGGACTCCCCCCCGACACACACACAACAAGGTGAAATGCAATACAGGTGAAGCACCTACCTTGACACTGGAATCCTTGCTTCCCAAACCCCCTGCAAAGGGAAAGACACACACAATTAGCATCCTCAGTGCATCAGCCCACACACTAACCCACCCACCCCCGCCTTCTCCCTGGGTTGAGCTTCCCCAGTGACAGCCTCTCAGATCCACACATCTGGAGCTGGAAGGAGACTGACAGCAGCTGGCAACCTGTTCCCAAAGAGCTGCTCCCCCACAGGGACATTCAAACACCCCCCTGGGGATACAGGCTGGGAAGTGCCCAGCAGCTGGTTCAATGCTGCTGAAACAACCCTCTGGAGGATTTGTGCCCTGCCCCTGGGGAAAGACTGGGTGCACCAGGAAAGCAGAGGGGGGTGGGATTTGGGGAGAGGGGAGGCTCTAGTTTAACAGTCTTGCTCCCCAGCTGCAGGGAGTGAATTTACCAGCTGGAAGCAAGGGGGGGGCACACAAGGGAGCACCCGGTAAAAAGCAGGTCCTTCCTGTTGTGTGAGGTGCCAGGGAGGAGCAGAGTGAATGTCCCAGAGAGCTGGGCATGCCCTGGGGTGCACAAAGGAGGAGCCCCAGGGAGACAGGGGTAGCTGGTGAATACACAGAGTCTATACAGGGGTGCAAGGGGGCACAGAGTCATACAGACAGATCCCTAGGAGAGCACACAAGCCAAGGGGGCCCGGGGGTCCCTGGCAATGCATGCAGGGGACACCGGTGTTCCCGCATGGGACACACAGCCGTGGGGGGCGCTGACAGGGCTCCCCCCAGGGAGCACGGAGCGAGGGGGCTGGCAGCGCGCGCCAAGGGACGCAGGCAGAGCCCCCGGGGACGCATGGCTGCGAGGGGCCCGAGAAAAGCGTGCCGGGGGCTGCGGGGGTCCCGAGCGGTGCACGCCGGGCGGGCGCAGGGGCCCCGGGCGCACTCACCAGATGAAGTCGGTGCAGTGGCTGCAGAAGGTGGGCTGCTTGAAGAACCGGGCCGTGAACTTGTGGTTCTTCACCTCGTGCACGTTCTTCTGCCTCAGGGCCCCCTTTCGGGCGAAGCGGACCGGGCCCTCCTCGCCCTCGGACCCGGGGGCGGCGGGCGGCTCCGCCATCCTGCGCTGCTGCCCGGCGCCTCCGCCCCTGCTCGCCCGCGGAGCCCGAGCCGCAGCTGGTGCGGATGCCGCGCGCGAGCCGGATGCAGCCGCCCGGCACCTCTGGCTGCAGCTGGGCAGGGAGAGGGAGAGACCCTGCCCGCCCCGCCCACTCATCTGCATAGGGCCCGCCCACTCCTCTCCATGCGAAGTCCCGCCCCGGATCCGTATTTGCATAGCCGCTCCCCCTGCACCGGCGGCGCGGCTCCTAGCTCCGCCCACCGATTCCCCCCCCCCTTACTTGCCCCAGCCCCACCAGCAAGGCTGCCAGCCCCGCCCACTCCGCTCATTTCAATAGACACGTCCCAAGCCCCTCCCACCACGGATTGATTTGCATAGCGTGGCCCTCGGTGTCAAAGGGGCAGTGCTCGCAGCCCCGCCCACCTGGGCCCTGATTTGCATAGCCCTGCCCACCCCCTGTTGGGCATAGCTTTGCCCCCCTGCGACTTTATCTGCAAACTCGCCCACACACTTCTAATCTGCATAGCTCCACAACCTCGTTTGCATATATCTGCCCCAGACCCCGCCTACCCTCTCCTTGTTTTCAGAGCTCTGCCACCCAACATCCCTTGAGCTGCCCATCCTTCTTAACACCCCCTGCAAGCCCCACCCACTCCCCACTTCATTGCATCGGGAGCCCCCCCAAATATCTACCCCATCCTTCTTAACACCCCCTGCAAGCCCCACCCACTCCCCACTTCATTGCATCGGGAGCCCCCCCAAATATCTACCCCATCCTTCTTAACACCCCCTGCAAGCCCCACCCACTCCCCACTTCATTGCATCGGGAGCCCCCCCCCAAATATCTACCCCATTATTTGCATATCATGCCCTCAGCACCTTCCGCAGGGCCACTATCTCCGCCCATCAACCCAAGGGTCAGGCTCATGACTGAGGGCAGGCAAGGGTGGCTTGTAGGCGTGAGCTGAATAGGTGGCGGCCTGGAGGGCCACATTCCAGGGGGTGACATGACTGGGGAAGGAGGGTCCTAGTGCAGCGAGAAACCATCCCACCAGAAGCCCCCATGCGGCAGGAAAGAGCCCTGGTCCCCAGCCCAGGCTGTAAGAAGAACGTGGCTGACTAGGGACACAAGAAGGAAAGGTAAGTGAGAGCATGAGAAATAGATAGATCCCTCCTTGAGACTGGGGGGTGGGGGGAATCTTTCATAAAGGAAAGGAAAACAATTACCCGAGTTCCCAGATCATTTCCTCGTTCTCTTCCTTGCGAAAAGCCCCACATCCCTAAGGAGTCTCTCTCCAGTACCTATTAAGCATGACAGATCAGGCGCCAAGTGCACTTCCATTCACGAAATGACACACAAACAACGGTGCACTCCATACCCATAAATACCCAGGGAGGGCAAGAAAACACAACCTACCTCATCTTCACAACCACCCCAGTAATAATCAGGGGTGAAAGCAAGCTAGGAGTTACTGCAATACACGTACATAATAAAATAAATAAATAATGTAATATGGAAATCCCTTCTTTAAACCATTAAGGGACATGTCAGTCTTGTAGAGAAAATATCCAGAGTAAATGTGAGTTCCCTGAGATTTCATAGCGTTAAAGGACCAGAGGAGACCATCATGACCTAGTCTGATCTCCTGCACCTGAACTGCAGTGGTGGGGAGATGTCATGTGAATGGGGTATCCCAGACTGAGGTCAGGAGTGGCTCAGAGAGGAGAAAATTTAAACCCCAAACCTGCAGCTGAATTCTGTGGGCAAACCCCTGCCTCTATGCATTTGCCCAGAGCTGTGCAGTAATCAGCTCAGCGAGCAGAAATGAAGCCTTAGATACCATGAGCAGAGTCAGGCAGGCTGAAGATTTGCTTATGTTGTTCTCACATGTCCTGTTTATTCGGGGGAGGGAGGAGGAATCCAGTGCCAATTAGTTCAGAGGCACTGTCAGGTTTGTTTGTTTTTGAATCACATAATTTAAACAATTCTTTTATCCAATTTACTAAAAATACCCCAGATACTTAAAGTGAAAGGATTATTAAAATCTCATTTGCCATGCTTTTATATATATATATATATATTACTAGCTGTTGCACATCCCTGATCCTGGACAATGAAAACAGATTTGTCAATTTCACTTTAGTGTCTAGTCAGTTTTACTTTCAGATTCTCATGCACCAGCCCAACATTGCAATGTTGGGGTTGAAAATAGTGCAGGGCAAGGTCTAAATCCACACACAAACTTGTTTTAATTGAATTTTAAACCAATAATGGGACTATTTCTATTAATATTAAGGAGGCTTAACTTTTTTGTTTGTTTGTTTTTTTCCAGAATAAACAAGACGTGAAAACAACATAAACATAACCCTAATATCCTGGAAATGCTGCAATATCTTCATCCCATGCAACAAAAGTGTTATCCCTTGATAGCTCCCACATTCATGGATGCTTCCTTCCTTATGGACTGGGACCTGCACCAATCTGCAGGAACATTAATACTAATCAATTATAATAATAAATAATTTTTGCAGAAAGCCACAACACTTCATCAAAGGCTTTGAAAGATAGCCTATTTAGAGACAACTCTGCTGACAAGTTCTTTCTGTGAACACACAGACTTGTTACTAACACCTGATGCCTCATTTTAAAACAATTTGCCAAGTGATCTTACTCTGAAGAAGGAAAAATAAATGGCTGCAGCCACACCACCTTGCACGAAGATTTTGGTCATAAATTAAGATGAACAAGAGCCTTCCGAAGAAAGCACAGGGTGCTGCAGAAAGCAGTAGCAGTGGTTCAGCAAGTGATGCTCATCTTGCTAAATTAGACCTCCCAGCATATGCTGCAGGATGACCTGACTTTTGAGTGTGAGGTTCTGGTCGCTTGTGGTGATGAAAGGAACTTTACTTGGAACTTTTCACAAAATATTTAGAAATAATACTTTATACGCTCCCAGCAATGAGGAATAATAACAACACTAAGCATAATGGGTCATTCTGAGTCCCATCTTGTGTACTTTTGCTAAAGAAAATGGCATGTTACCCTGAGAGCATGCTACCTTTAGCACAACTAGGTTGAATTCTGCTCAGTGTTGTTTGCACATCCTGGGCACTTTACCTGTTTCTTTTTTGTTGGTGGTGTTTTTTGTCATTTATTTACCTATTTTCAAAATAAAATCTACATTGTAACTGTAAGTGAACTCAAAGTGTAGCAGAACCACAGAGGTTGGTTTTTTTAATTTCCCAATTTAAGTGTTAATAATCATGTTAGCATTCATACTCCAGCATCCAAAATGATGGCATATGGAGAGGTGTCAATACCGGGTCCAGTTCCTGTATTTAGGAGATTAATTTAAACCAGCACCTATCAGGTTACATTACAAGGTAGGATTTTCAAGGGTATGTTCATTTGAATGGGAATTGGGTATCCACATTTCTTAGGCAGCTTTGAAAATGTCAGCATAAGCTTCCCAGTAGTTTCATTAATACAAGAAAGGTCCTAGAGGTGCACTGAAAGCACTTGTGCAAGCAAACAGCACTCCCTGGGTTAGGGGGAGCATGGGGCTAACAGGTAATCAGCTCTGTTCATTCCCACTGCTGTAGAACTGCAGACAGGATTCTGAACCAAAAATTCCTCTGAAAAAGACCCATGCCTTCTGCCAGCCAAGAAGGGCAAGATACTGAACGTGAAAATAAGCAACACACAAAATATTTCAGACATTTTGCCCCTGCTGTGCTATCGCTCCTCTCTTCTCCAAGGATCTCCAAGGATTTCACAGAGAATATATGCTTAATGCTCACAACACTCCTGAGAGGTAGGTACGTGCTATCCCCATTTTACAGATTGAGAAAATGAGGCACACAGGATTTAATTTCCTTGCCCCGCAGACTCACAGAGAGTCAGAGTCACTCCAAGACGCCACCGTCCCCCTGCAATTGCTGGAGGGTGTGAAAACAAATACAAGCAGTAGTGGGGAGACCGGTGAGACAGCAGGGATCAGGAGAAGGCTCAGTGGGAGGTATGATTCATATCCTTAGGAAGGGAACTCTTCTTCACAGCACATGGAGAAGGGCCAGCTCCCAGGAAATGAAAGAGCTGAGTGAGTGAGCTGTGTTACTGTATCTGGTTCACAAGAAATGCTTTGCTGGAAGAAACTGGTATTAGACCAGGACGTGATCATTAAGGGAGATAAATAACAAAGTTCTTCTGAGTGTCCATGAGGAGGATTGGAGGTGAGCTGCCAGAAACAGAATTAATAGATTCATGGATTTTAAAGACAGAAGGGATCGTTATGATCATAACACAGGACTCATCCAGGGGCTGCTCTCCTGAGCTCAATAACTTGTAGTTGAACTACAGCAGCACCTCCAGAAAGACATTTCATTTTGATCTAAAGAAATAGTGAGTCCGGTTTTCCTCTCCCGTAAGCCAGTCAGACGCTGGTGGGATTATACTGACTTCTCTGGGTTTAGTTCCTATTTACAAGGATTTACAAAAGGATCAAAATACATTTTACTCCTGTTTCAGTAGGTTCACAAAAATAAACTAACTTCTCAACAAAATTTAATATTTAGCAAACTAACTTGCCATAAATAATGTATTATTTCAAATAGTTTCTCAAATATCAAGCTGAACTATTTTTATAGTAACCTAGATTATAAAAAGTACTATTTAAAGATTGAGTATGAGTGAGAGCAGAATCAGGCCCAAAGTTTCTGTGAGAAACTGTTCATTGGTATCTAGGGCATTTCTGATGACACCAGAGTGACTTTGCCTGTGGCACAGAGGTCACAGAAGGGAATGCCACACACCCATCCTCGAGTCGGTGCTCAGCACCTTGCAGCATCTGAACCTTAAAATGGACTGATTCTACCTGAGAATATTTCAAAGCAAAAGTCACAACCTGAGCTGATGGAAGTGTGTACGTCCTGTGTGCTACGCACATCGTGTTGGCACAGAATAGCATACATTGTATAAAACAACTTGATCTTGGTTGCCCAACATTGGTCACACTTTAGTGTAGTAAGTGAAATATGGTTTCAAAACTCAGATACAATGTCTCTGCTAGTAGGCTCCAAGTAATAA